CCATTGGGGGGGCCTTCCTGGAAGTGCGGGGGTGACGGTGGGTGGATGTCCAACCGGGTGCTGGGGGCAGCGAGTGGGTGAGGTCCCCAAGGGCTCCGCCAGGTTCACTGAGGCCACAGGGACGCTGCGGGCAGTGCCCGGGCCTCATGCTGTGAAGTCAGTCTCTCCACCCTTCCCCAACCCCTCCCGCCAAGCTCCCCAACGATCAGCCTCACCAGCCTCTCCTCGCAGCATTTGTGTTTGGAAAGAGGTCGCTGCCTTTACACTGGAAGGAAGGGAGCTCAGGCCCACGTCACACTGTGCTTCTCCACCTCCACCCGCCAAAGCCTGGCTGGTGGGCAGCTTCGACGACCCCCACCCGCCCCCACGCTCCCATCTGCCCAGCTCAAGTCCACCTGGAACCTGGGGATGGTACTTAGCGACAGCACCTGTGGGTGGTACTTAGCGACAGCATCTGTGCAGCTGTGCCCGCAGCTTTGAGACAAGTCAGCTGGCCCAGGTGGGCCCTCGCCCAACAGCCTGGTGCCCTTAAGGGAAAGGAGTTTGGACACGGATACGTGGGGGCGGCCGCGTGACGACGAGGCAGCGATTGGAGGGACGTGTGGACAAGCCAAGGACAGTGGACACTGGGCGAGGCGGGACAGGAGCCCCAGTGGAGCCAGCCCTGCCGGCATCCGGATCCCGGGCTCCCGGCCTCCAGACCGACGGGATTATGTCTGCGCCCGGATGTGATGCTTTGTCACGGAGCCTGGGCACTGCCACGGCCTCCTGGTGACCCCTGACCCGTCGGGCCTGCAGGGAGGCATTTTCTCCCACGGCTTCCCACAGGTGCACGGCCTCCCCCTGGTGCACAGCCTCACCTGGTGCATGGCCTCCATGGGCACACGGCCTCCCATGTGTGCACGGTCTCCCACGGGCGCATGGCCTCCCCCTGGTGCACGGCCTCCTGCTGATGCACGGCCTCCCGCGGATGGACAGCTTCCTGCAGATGCCTCCCTCCGGCATACGCACCGTCGGGGTTCGCCGTCAGTGCCCACAGCTGTAGGGAATGGCCATAGGGTTAAGCCTCGGACTAACCTGTTGGCAAAACCACAAACAATTCCCAGCTTAGAGGACACAGCCCTCTTAGCATCATTAAACTTGACCTTATGATGCTTCCTAGCTCCTATCTGGGTAGCTGATGGGCTGTGGGAGGGGCAAGTGCTGCCAAAACAGGTGAAACTCACAACACTGTAACCATGGTGACGACTACCTTGTTTCCCTCTGGCTATAAAATAAAGGCTCAGCTTGCCACCTGGGTCTCTCTCTGTGGCCTCAGCCAGGCACCTGAGATCAACCTGGACACCCGCCCCCCCCCCCAAAAAAAAAAAAAAGTGGGCCAAGATGGGGCTGCTGTTACTTCACTGGAAAGTCAGAGGAAGGTGGGGTTGGAGACAGCTTTAGGGGGTCCCTTAGAGTTTAGGTGATGCACCCTCTGGGGGAAGCAGAGAGGAAAGGGCAAGACATGGATGTGCTCCCAGGAGGGAGAGGGCTCATGCTGGGTCCTTTGTTTTGAGGGTTTTTTAAAAGCTGGAAGTTTAGGGCAGGTCTTATGGGAGAATATTCAGGAATATTCTATATTCTCAATAGAATTCTATATCTCAATAGAATATTCCTGAGTTTTCCATGTGATTCCTTTCAGAATCATGGTCTCCACTGATTGGTTGGCACAAATCATGGCAGCTGGTCCTTGTGTGGCCCACAGGGTTTGCTGCTTTTCTGAGCCTGGAGCTCAAATACAACAGAGGCCTAGATATTATCTCTAAGGAGGCGACCTCTGTTACTGGCAGTAAATTGCTCAGCTAGTTTGTTCAACTGTCTGTCTCAGTTTCCCCATTCCACTTGCCAAAAAAGTTTCCTAGCTTCTGACTATGCTGTCTCATTCTGACAAATGTTTCTTCCCCTGAACTAGATCAAAAATACATTCCCAACAAATAAAGGTAATTTTTCATCAAAGGTCTCAGCATTACTAATGACTTAGACCAACCTGCCATGAGGATTTTCTCAAGTAATAAAAAAAATATTCCTACCTGGACTGCTTCTCCAGTGGAAATTTCCTGCCCCTGACCTTGTGGGGGGGTGGAGAGGCCTGGCCCAGGAGTCAGGTGTCTGTTCAGTAATAAATCTGTCTATGATTTGGCTGTGTTACATTGCAGAACTCACTTTCTTTCTAATAGAAGAGTAATTTTCCTTCTTTCCTTCCTTTCCCCCTGTCTCCTTTCCTTCACTTCTTTTCTTTTAATTATTTGTTATGGGAAATTTCCATTTTAAACATCAACAAATGTAGAGACAATAGTACGATAAACCCTCATGTACTCAACAGCTTTAACAGTTATCATCCTATAACCCATCTTGTTCATTCATACCTCTCCCCTAGTTTCTTTATTTTTTTTAATTATCACCCAAAAATATGTGTATTGGGTTTTTTAGAGAGTGGGTGATGGAGATAGAGAGGGGGAGAAGAAGAAGAAGAAGAAGAAGAAGAAGAAGAAGAAGAAGAAGAAGAAGAAGAAGAAGAAGAAGAAGAAAGAGAGAGAGAGAGAGAGAGAGAGAGAGAGAGAGAGAGAGAGAGAGAGAGAGAGAGAGAGACACTTTGGTTGCTCACATATGTGCCCTGAGCGGTGATCAAACCCAATACCCAAGTATGTACTCATACTGGGAATCAAACCAAATCGTCCATCTCCCCCCCCCCCCCCCCCCAGTGTGCAGGACAATGCTTTGTCCAACTGAGCCACTGGGCTAGAGCACTCCTGGCTTCATTTGAAGCAAATCCCTAAACATCAGTAAATTCATCTGTAAATATTTCAGAATTACATAACTTATCCATTGCTGTTGTCTAGTTGCTAGAAACAGTAATGATTCTGTGAGATCATGATTTTGTGGGTTGACAATTTGGGCTGGGATCAGCTGAACAGTTCTGTAAGTTTTGTCTGTTGTCTCATGTGGGTGTAGTAAGCTGGTGACTTCTTTCTTTCTTTCTTTTTTTTTTAGATTCATAAAGCTGGGAGCTAGGTGGGCACCATAACTCTGATGGAGAGACAGTCACACTCACCACAGACAACACAGCATATTTATTGGCTTCTAAAGGGGAGTTTAAAGTCAAAGGAATTTTGGGTGTGCCCAGATCCTATTCACCAAGATCTGGGTAAGCTCCTCATTTTTTGGTACAAGGTTTAGCATATCAAGATCTGGGTAAGTCAAGGTCCTATCTGTTCCTCATTCCAAGCACAGGGATAAAGATAAGAAATCAGTACTGATAACAGGATTCTGCCACTGCCCTTGGGCTCAGCTGATAAGAATTAAAAGAATGTCCATGTGCCTTCTCAGGCGACTCTCTACATCTCACCCTTCTTTACTAATAAAAATAAAATTTAAACATTAATAATATGGCTCTAAAATTAAAAGCAATTGCAGACAATGCCAATGCAAAAACTAAATTACATACATGTTATTTTCAAAACTTGAATGTCAAGAGCAAAACTCTGGCCATTAAATAATAACAATGTCAATGCAAAACAACAATATGAGAAGTCAGAACTATGGACATATTAACATTTTTAGCTACTAAATGAGTCTCTTTTGTTGCTGGTGTAGATTTACTCAGAGTCCTTGGGCTTGCTGCACAAGACTTTGCAGAATACTGGAAGCTAACAGATGCTAGCATGAGCAGGAACATGGTTAAAGAAGTAGCTTCCATTTCAGTCTTTAACTTCTTCAGATGGTCACTTCTTTAGGGTTGGACAGTCCCTGATGGCCTCACTCACATGTCTGACAGTTGATCAAGGAGCCTTAGTTCTCCACCTGGCCTCTCCAGCAGGCTCGCTTAGGCTTGCTCCCATGGTGTCAGTATTTCATGAGTTCCCTTTGGCAAGAGGGAAATTTTCAATTAAAAATGTTTTAACTTTACTTTTCTTGTTCACATCTGTTGACACAGATGTCCACATTTCCCTCATCCCCGCTACATTTGTCCCTCTAAAACCATCCTCTGACCGCCCTTTCCTCTCACCATCACCACACGTTGTCTGTGTCTATGGGTTATGTATACATGTTCTTTGGCAAACCCCTTCACCTTTTTTTTCATCTCCTCCTTCCGATAAATGTTAGTCTGTTCCATGTATCCATGCCTCTGTTTCTATTTTGTTCATCAGTTTATTTTGTTCATTACGTTCCACTTGGAAAACTTAATGTTGAAAAACTTTCTGATTTAACATGTTTTTTATTGTTTTATTTAACTTTTTTTAATGACTCTAAAATGTGTCATTAATTGGGTATGCTCTAAATTATTCAGCAGGTCATCATGATTAAATCATACTTATTCAAGTATTCTTATTACAAACAATTTTTCAACTTAAATGTCCAATCTTGAATGATGTATGTTGGAAGCTGATCAAGAGGGTAGAACACAAAGGCTAAAACACTGTTGGCAGTAAAAGAGCCAAGGAACCTACTGTGGAAAGGAAATGACACAAAGACTTTCTCTGTCTCTATCTCTAGGGTCTGCTAAGGATCAATTTCTATGATCTCCCAGGACCTCTGGGAGGGAGGCCTTACCTCCAGGATCAACAATTCTTTGCATTATTCAAGGTAAAAACATATGTACCTTTTGGGTGGGTTCTGCTTTGAGGGATAAACACTTGGTGAGAGGCATGTAGGCTGGATTGTAGACCCACTCACTCCATCACACTTAATCATGATTTTTTTTCTGCTAATCCGTCCTCAACCACAAATTCCTCATTGAAGTTTCTATTGCATCACAACACATCCATTTCAAGGACATAGTTGTGATTGATTCTGTCTATGATAGCTCACACCTGCTGGAGATCTTTCTAGAAGAGACTTAGCAAATAAAAGGGGGCCAGAGGGCGGGGCTTCCAGAAATCATTTATAACCTGCTGCTTGCAGAGATCTCACACACACAACTACACACAATTTGGAAGAGCTTCCTAGCAGAAGGCACAACAATGTCATTGCTACCGGTGAGTTGAAAAGGCACAGCCTTCAGTGACCCCAGGTAGCTTAAGGGAAGGAGAAAAGAGTCTGAGATTTTCTAAGATGAAAATATTGGGAATGTATTACTGGAGGTTGTGAATATATGTAAGAGAGAGGATGGGCCATTGTATCTACTGTCAGCATTTGGTGGTCTCTGACTGAGGGTGAACTCTATTGAGGCACCGTGACTCTGTGGGAAGTGAACAGCTGACTGGGATGTGGTAGTATGTACATTGGTACAAGGGGTGAGATTGCACATTTTTCTTCATGCTTCTGAGTATGTGTGTGTGAGTACAGCTGGGGCAGTGGTTGAACAGCTGTGCATGTCATCATGAGTAGCAGTATCGGGAGGTATGTGTGAGTCAGTGAGTTCCATGTCTTTGTGTAACTGTGTGTGTATGATGATCTATGACTGCATGTTGAACTATGAATATGTGTGCACCTGTATCCACTTGTGAGGATTCTCCCATACATATTAATGACTGCTTAAGGAGCTGTGGTTCTTTCCATGTGTAACCTTGTGGCTTTTGGTGGGCAGAACTGGAGGTCTTGGGGAGAGTGGGTTTCCCAGGACTCCTCTCTGAGCATTAATGAGAGCAGAATGAGTCAGTCCTCAGATGCCCCTTCTCAAGAAGGCTGGGGGAAGGTGAACTCAGACTGTGGGACACAGGATCTCCTGTGTAGGTCAGCACACGGTGACCCCTGCTCCTGCCTCAGGTCTCCTCTTCCATTCAAAGGAGGGGTGGCTGGGTGGGGTTGGGGTGGGGCGGTGGGGGCGGAAACCAGATCCTGGCTCTCTGGGGAAAGTGGCTGGGAGAATTGGTTTCAGAGAATGGGTCACCTGAAGATGGAAGGAACAAAACCAGCCTCAGTCCAGACAAAGCTTAGTCAATATCAGGGAACAACCTGTAGATTCTATTTAATTAGTTTCCTGTCTCCCACTCTGTGTGCAGGTACTGACTGTCCTCAGTGATGGTACATATTCCTGAAAAGACACCATTGCCCTTGAAAATTCTGATGCATATACATGCCACACACAGAAGTCTCCTTTTCCCTTATTTCCCTTTCCTTTAAACAACTATCTTATATAGGAGTCAATTCTTATATTTTATATTTTTACATTCTGAAAGTTTATTTTTACAGTTTCAGGTAAAAACTGATGGGAGGGTAACATTCCAGAAAGGGCCTTCCCCTTCTGCTAAGTGACCCTGTATGGACTCTATACCTACCAGTGACCATGCTAAAGGTTTTATATCTATTAACTCAGCTATTCCTGAGAACATCCTATGAAATATAGAAATTGTTATAATCCTCCTTGTATTGAGAAAAGTAAGGCCGGGATCATTCAAGTAACAGAACTCAGTCCTCATTGGTAGTAAGAGGCAGAATCAGCATTAGAATCCAGGCCACCTGGCTTTTGAAATCTTGCTGTTAACTTCAGCTTTCTCACTTCTTCAACAACACAAGGACCTGCCTGTGGTGAGGTGGGAAGAAGAGGGTCCTCAGATTATGCCCTTTGATGTAAAACCTGCTTTGCCACTGGGCACTGTTATAGGATGGGCGACCACCCCTGGCTTTGCACCTCTCAACCACTCTCGTCTTCCCTGGCAGGTCCCATTTACAAAACACGTATCCTTGTCTGTTGGTTCTTCAGTGAAAATCAAAGGGGCACCTGCCATGCCTCTCAGGTAAGTATCTATATCCATGGGAAAGAAGTAAGATTATTACAGTTTTGGGGGTCACTTCAGGCATGAATGGGGTTAAAGTTTGTAATTAGCACAATGGAAGCACAATGCAGTTTCAGTTCCTGGAGACCCACATGGTGCCAGGCATTAATCCTACGGGTGCATGACTGTGGGCAAGTGTTGAAGTCTGGGGGCTGGGATCAACAAGCTTTGGAGCTGAAGCTTATTATCAAGGGACATGGTGTTTCCAGGGCATTTAAACTAGCCCTAGGCCAGTGACTGCTGCTCAGTGTGAGTCCTGGGCTAAGAAATGAGGCATCTCCCCAGCCTGGGCTGGACAAGCTGAAGCACCCCACAGGGGCACGTACTGCAGTGTCACCCAGGAAGGCCTTCCTTCCCCCAGGAGGAGTTGGGAAGGGTGTGTCTGTGTGTGAAATGTGGGCCGCCATGAGGAAGGGTCCTTACTCAACATGCTGTGCTTTGCCTTCAGTATGGACCCACAAATGCAGGTGGATTTCCACACTGGAAACGAAATTAACTCAGACATCGCCTTCTGTTTCCGCGTGTACTTTGGCGAAAAAGTGGTGATGAACACCCGTCAGGGTGGGATATGGGGTGATAAGGAGATATCGACTGTTATACCCTTTGAGGATGGCCAATCCTTTGAACTGGACATCTCGGTGCTGGCAAAGGAGTACCAGGTGAGTGTGCCCAGGAAAATCACTGCATGGACTCTCAGGGCTCTCACAGGAGCTCACAGCTCTCCCTGGCCTGGCCCCCAGAGCCACCTGTGGTTCATCTCCTGCCCCTCTCACCACAGAGCACTCTCTGCGTGTACTACTGTGCTCCTTTTCCAAAGCTAGGCAGGTGAAGATCAGCACACATGCCTTACTCTCCATGGTGGAGAAGTTCCTGTCTTCACTCACTGCCCTCATTTCTCCCTATGCTGTCATTCCTTCAGTTTTCATATAGGAGATCATTAAAATATGCAAATAAATAATTATAATCAGTCTAAAATTAAGTCTTTCTTACATTAACAAACCCAGTCCCACTTTCCAGAAAAACACTAATTCTTTATACTCCTTCTAGTTTATCTACATGCTTGTTCAAGTCTATCTATCTATCTATCTATCTATCTATCTATCTATCTATCATTTATCTCTGCTCTTATTTTTAAACTAATTATGTTATAAGTTTCTCTAGAAAGCACACATCGATGGCTAGATATTATTTATTGTCAAAGATGTATATTAGCGAATTTAACATCATTCTATTTGTGATGCACCCACATCATTTAATGTTTGCATAATATTCCAGTAGAAGCATTTTCAAAATAGTTTAACTTGACCCTTATTCATGCACATTAAAGAGGTTTTCCATATTTTACTCTGATGAATGATGCTTCATTCTATATCACATTTTTGTCATAATCAACCTCCCTATTCTTATAAGAGAGGATAATTTCAGAGGAATTGAATAACTGGTTCAAAAAGTTTGTGCATTTTAAATTTGAAAAAGTTAAGACTTAAAAGTTTACTTTACTCCATAGCCACACCCATAAGTGTATGTTTAAAGCTTCTATCATTGGGAAGCAAAAATATTTAATGTCCTATGATGGAAGTGAGGCATTGTTCCATTTGCTTATAAGCTGAATGAAAATATCTTCATTTTAATTCTATGTATTATTCCTCCTTTTTAGGAACATTCAAGTTTGGCTCAGTAGTTAGAGCATTGTGCTGCACACTGGAGGGTCTCAGGTTCAATTCTCCATCAAGGGAGTGTATCTGGGTTGCAGGTTCAATTCCCAACCCCATCAAGGCACATGCAGGAGGCAACAAATTGAGTCTCACATCTCTCTCTCTCTCATTCTTTTCTCTCTCTCATCTCTCTCTCCTTCCCCCTTTCTTCCACCCTCACTCTATTAAAAATAGGGGGGAAATGGAAAAAGTTTTATTCTTTACCTTTACCACCCCAAATTTGAGCTACTGAGCCATCAGGAGTAAATGATAGTAAAGTTTAGCAGAGCTAAAACAAATGCACTCAATAAACACATAATGACCAATTAGCTTATGATACTCTGTGCAAGACCCAGACTCACAATTCATGAAACAGTTCCTGGCCATAGGGAAGCCCAGGCAAACATAGACAGTGCAACATTGAGTGCTGACAACTCAGTGGAAGAATGAGAGAAACACAGAAAATAGGGTGAATAACTGTCTGAAATGGTCACAAAAGAGAGTCTATAAAAAGAAGCATGCCTGTTGTGTTTTGAGTGTGACTAGGAGTTTCTGCTGGATGGTGTGTGAATAGGGTAGGGAAGAAAAGGGAGTAAGTTTGTTTGGTGGCTTGCTATATTTCTGACACTTATTCTCTTCCAGGTATCAGTAAATGATGTCCAATGCTACCATTTTCACCATCGAATTGAGCCAGGATCTGTGAAGATGGTGCAAGTGTGGAGAGATGTCTCCCTGACCTCAGTGACTGTCGCTTAGAGAAGGATGTGACCAACCCTCCCCATTGTTAAGGAGATCCCTCCACCTAAGTGATCCTGTGATTCCTAGGAATGACTTTGAGATCAGAGATTATATAACGGGATGGGTTAAGTTATGTTGTGTATGAACTTCATTGCATAATAATAATAAAGGAAATAATGTAAAACATTAATTTTGTAAAGGAGGATAATGGACTGAAGAGAATTAAGGACAAAAAGTCTAAGCCAGTGGTTCTCAAAGCATGGTCCCTGACTCTTGGGCATCACTGATATTCTTGCACGAGCTCCACAAGGTCAAAACTAGTCTCATAATAATAGTGAGAGGTTCTGTTCCTCACTCTTCCCCCCAGCGTGAGGTGAAGTGTTCCAGAGGCCATGTGAGATGTGCTGAAGTCATTGCTCTGATATTAACATGGAATGGATTTGTTGTTGCTATTTTTAGACAAATACACAAATCTCTAAAAAATTACTCGATTTGAATTTGTTTAAGGTAAAGATGGATAGCTATCCCATGGGGCACTGGTGCCAGCCCTTAATGGATGCAGATTCACATGTTCAATTCCTGCTCATGTGAACCAGTTGTTAAGACTTTGAGATGGGCCATGGTGGGAGTATTTACCACACAGAAATACAATAGCATGGGGTTACCTTCCGCTCAGAGAGCTGGTTTACCAGGACGCCTTACTGTAATCACACACATAGCCCAAAACACGTTGGGGTCCTCAATCATTTTTAAGAGCATAAGGAGTTCTGATACCAGAACAGTTGAGAACCACTGATCTATTTAAATTACAACCAGTCAAGCCCTAACCTAAGGCTGATGCGCCCTCTGCTGGTACAAATTAGAATGGGTGCGATGTTATACACATAAACTTTCGCAACTGAAAATGTGTATTTCTTGTGAAAAACCACACACTACATTCAAAGGTCACATTGGTCACATGTTTTAAATGCCTTGATTTTATATTGTAACATCTTGAATTTATTGAAGGATTATGTGCCAAGCCGAAACCGGTTTGGCTCAGTGGTAGAGCGTTGGTCTGTGGACTGAAAGGTCCCAGGTTCGATTCTGGTCATTGGTTGTGGGCACATCCCCAGTATGGGGTATGCAAGAGGCAGCTGGTCAATGTTTCTCTCTCATCGACGTTTCTATCTCTCTATCTCTCTCCCTTCCTCTCTGTAAAAAATCAATAAAATATAAAAAAGTGAAGGATTATGTGAAATCTTTTTATAAGATTTCATATCGTATAATTTATTCCTCCATCTATCCTTTGAGATAAATCTTATTATCTCGCTTTTGTTTGCTAAAGCATTGGAAAGTCAGTGGCTAACAGAATGCCTCATCACCTCACCTTTGCATATGTTGGTTGTTGCAAACAAGGGCACCTCCCTACACAACCAGATCCAGCATCTGGGAATTAACATAGCACATCACTACCATCTCATCCTCACGGCTCACCCAGGTTCACTAATTGCTCCCAAAGCTGCCTGTAGAACAAAAGGGCCACATTCAGAAGCACACGTGCATTTCATTGTCATGTCTCACTGTCACCTGCATAATCCCCACACTTTTGGAGATGATAAGTCAGTTATTTCTAGGACGTCCCTCAGTTTAGGTTTGTCTGATGTTCTCCTGGGATGAGCTTTGAGGTTTGCATCCCAATTAGAAAAGCACAGAAGTGACTCAGGTTCTCCTCACTGTGTCGGGTGAACGGGATTCTGGTTTGTCCATTCACCATGAAATTCACATTGATCACTTGGTTAAGGTGGTGCCTGTCCAGTTTCTCCTCTGGTAATTAATACATATAAAAGTATCAAGTAACAGGTCTATACTTTTTATTTACACAGTGTTATGTATCAAATATACTGGATTAAATATTTTTTAAAAAGTATCTTTGGCAGCGATTATGCAAGATTGGTTCAAAAAAAGAGATTGATTCAATAATTCCATTGTAGCTTTGGAACTAGAAAATATTTCACTGTTTCTGATGTAAATATCTTCTTTTTTCTTTAATTATCAACTGAGGATATTTAATCTATTAATTTGTCTAGAAATACTGGAATATAGAGTGAAAGAGGAAAGAAAAACAGACACTGGTCGCCTCCCACAGGCACTTGTCCTAGAGCCAGAAAGGAAAGTTCCAGGTATCCTTGACCTAGAATCCAACCTAACTCCTTCTGTACCAGGAGTGATGTTCTAAACAGTGAGCAAACCGGCTAGGGGCTGTGTAAATTTCTACAACCAAATACCTACATTTTCGCCTAACACTGTTTGCATTTTAGAATAGATTATCAAGTAAGGAGAACAATTTTCTATTGGATGGAGTCACCCTGACAAAAGGGAATAATCCAGAGAGGGGAGCTGTGAAACCCCGCCCCTTGTATCCCATGATGCACCTGGGCTCCCTCCAGGAGGTGCCCACTGGTACTTAAACACAGACCCGCCTCTGTGGGCTCATTTATTCTCAGAGGACAGCAGCCCCTGGATCGCTTCTTCTGAGCCTCAGCTGCAAGGGCATTTCCCACAACTCAGGACAGAGTGCTTGGGTAGTGAAAGGACTTCGGCCAACTTCAGATTTGTTGACTTCCATCTTTTTGGAAAGGACACATTTCCAAGTAACACAAGGAACAAACGCACACTTCTCGCGCCATTGCTGGAGAACGAAGAGGGGGCAGACAGTCCTGGGAGCAGCAGGTTTCTCAAGCAGGTGGGCACCTGTAGAGAGTGGGCCATGTCTGGCTCCTCTCCAGAATTGGAACCGGAACCATCACCCGGCCCTGTGTTTGCAAACTCCATGTCAGCGTCACTCAGCTTCTCAGTCTTCTCTCCAAGGAACCAGGGCCAAAGAGGCTTCTCCTCACCGGGGGCGCCGGGCAGCTTTCCATCCTCCTCCACCGTGACTGCAGCCGCATCGCCACCATCCTCCCCACCACACGGCTCCACATTCCTCTCTCCAGATCGGAATCCATGGTCACCCGAGTCACTTAGCTCTACGCCCACTTCTAGGAGGTTTTCAGGCTCACCCTGCTCACACACCATCTATCACATGTTTGTCCTGCCATCGCCTAGTCCTACACCGCCAGGCCGCATGGCCTCCCTGGAGACACCCAGCTACTCTCCTTCGGTCCCTAGGTTTCTATGGAATTCAGCCCATCAAGAACGGGAATCGCGGAGTCACTCACAGACCTCACCACGTTCCTCCCCGCGGTCTTTCATGTCTTCACCCATTGTCCTCAGGGACTCTCCTGAGGTACCCAGCTACACGCCCACAGTCCCCAGGTTTCTGCAGGAGTCAGCCCATCACACGCAGGAAACACGGAGTCACTCACAGACCTCACCAGGTTCCTCCCTGCGGTCTCCCATGTCCTCACCGATTGTTCTCAGTGACTCTCCGGGGGCACCCAGCCACTCTCCTACCATCCCTAGGTTTCCATGGGTTTCAGCCCATCATGAACAGGAAACACGGAGTCACTCACAGACCTCACCCGGTTCCTCTCCCAGGTCTTCACTCATTGTCCCCAGGGACTCTCCTGAGGCACCCAGCTACTCTCCTACCATCCCCAGGTTTCTGGGGGTGTCAGCCCATCCAGAACAGGAAACATGGAGTCACTCACAGACCTCCCCCGGTTCCTCCCCCAGGTCTCCCAGGTCTTCACCCAGTATCCCCAGAGACTCTCCTGAGGCACCCAGCTACTCTCCCACCGTACCCCGGTGTCAGCGAGAGTCAGCCCATCACACACTGGAAACCCCCCGGTGCTCACAGACTTGGGAGGTTTACCCTTCCGTCTACAGCACAGAAACTCCCAGGTGTTGTCCAGTCCCAAACGCATTTCCTTTCACATCCGGACACACCCAGGGCCTCCCAGCTCCTCTTGCTCATGGTCCTTGGACTGACACATGTGTGGACCAAGGGAGGGGCCAGCAGGACTCAGGGTGGCATTCATTTCTGCCTGGCTCTGGTCATGGTCACACACGCACCAGCGGGAGGGACCCTCCTCGCACCACCCTCCCTCACTCACAACGTTGCCCTCGCACTTGCTATTGTCACTCACTGGCTCACAGAAGACAACCTTCCCGTGGCAGAGTGCACCGTCGTGGCCATCGTCACCCCTCAGCTGTGCAGCGGGACCCTCCTGCCTGCCTCCGACCCTGCTGCCGGCCACCTCGCCAGCGAGACCCTCCCGCTTGTCTGAGACACTGTGGCCAACGCTGGAGACAACGGTGACCACGTGTCGCCCCAGGCTACCCCTGTCCTTACTGGAGGGGTGGCCTCTCTCCTATGTGACCGTCTTGCGGTGGTTGGGGGGTGGGGGGTGGGGAAGGAAACGAGGTGAGACTCTGTGTGTCTCCCGGATGCTCCTCCCAGGTGAAGTCCTGCTCACAGCTCAGCGCTGTGCCTGGGGGAATGGAGACACAATGGGCCCCGAGTCCAGGGACTGCACATCCTTTCAGGACAAAGGCTACTGCAGGTGGTTGGCCTGCGGTGGTCGGGGACTTGGCCAGGACTACAGGGTGAATGCGCGAGGCTGTGTATGGGGGCGCTTTCCCAACGGAACCACACTGTTCTGACGTGGGAGTGGGTGGGGAGGGTAGAGTTCCCTGTTGTGCGCATGCGCGGCCCCAGGCAATGGGTGGCGGGTGGCACTGAGGTTTCCTCTCTATGGAAGGCGCAGGTTTCAGGGGCTCATCCCCCTGCGGAAGCTTCTGGGGCCCAGAGGGCCTCTATCCAGGGTCCTGGGCGTCCCTTTGCCTGCCCAAGGCCTAACTCTCCTTCAAGCTAATGCGAGTGGGGGAGAGGGGTGTGTTCCACAAATATTTGTTTCAAGGCTCTGTTTATTTTTTATTTCTTCTACTTAATCCTAGGTAATTATCATAAATAAAGTTTCTTTTTTTAACCTTCGAGTGTTTCTTTTCTTTCCTTTTTGTTTGTGTTTTAATGGTTGAATTGATTTTCGAGAGAGGAAGTGAGAGGGAGAGAAGGATGGAAACATCCAAGGTGA